TTCATAAACTAATTAAGGAGGAGTGCAGATAAAAATAGTAATTATTAACAACAATAAAAATTCTTCTGTTTGACCATAAAGAGTTGAAAAATAAATTTTAAGTCAAACAATCATAAGAAATGTAAGTAAAAACAACAAAACTGCTTTCTAGGGCTGTAAAAACAACAGCACTATTTCCTTTTGTGACAGCCTCTTCTCACAACTCTCTCTCTAAAAAAAAACAAACATATATGGGTTTACAAAAAAGATTCAAAAACATTGTTTCATATTCACTCAAGCTTTTTAAAAGATGGTTTATTTATTTAATTTTTTGTGTCCAAGCACTTCTTTAAAGCAACTTCAGCTTGGGCAGTTTATTCTAACATCCATGTCAAATTAAGGGATACTTTGAAATTGCTATAGATAAGGAAACTGAATTGTGTGTCCAGGAGGAACCTAAAATAAAATGTTTCAAGGCCATATCTTGGGCCAAAATAAAGTGAGGCATTGAGAGAACAAAGGATTATACGTTTTTCTCTTTTTCCTTTCTCTTGGGTCTCTCAGACCAGCCAGAGAGCCTAACCTTGACCTTTGTTCATTTCAGGAACTCCCTTACCCCTGCTCTTTGCAAGGCCTGGGGGAGACTGCTTGAGACTTACTGGATGAGAAGCAAGGATACGACCTGTCTTTTCAGAGTTTTTTTTAAGCGATATATTTAGGGCGCTTGAGAGGAAAGAATTGGCCAGTCCTTTATTTATCTTCCTAACAGGTGCAGCCGGACAGTCATAAAAGCAGGCTACTGAAAAAGAACGATTTTGCCAAGTATTAAGCCCCTCTAGTGTGTTCCTCCTTACAGCAGATAGCTCAAACCTACACTGTGCCTTTCCAGTACAGCCTGGCAAAGGTTTTTCAGGGGGAAAAACATTGGCATTCATTCATGCAACTTCTTTATTCTTCATCCAAATCTTCAATGTGGCCTAAATGAACCATTTGAAGTTTGGAGGAAAATAGCTGCCCTCGATCAAATACCTCCTCTCTCTTCTCCCTTTCTTTTGCTTACTTCCAATAAATGTACTTTTCCCCAAATTGAGGGAAAGGTAATAGCCTATATGTAAGATGACTTCTCCAAAGACAAATTTATTTTGGTGTTTGAAATAGATGCAGGTGGAAACTAAAGGTCAAGGAATAAATATGAGAGGAAGGTTTCCCATCACCAGGCCTCCTTTTCTGTTGATGACTAAGCCTTGAGTGATGCTGGGAAATAGGTAAGAGGTGATGAATGCTGCTCTGCATTCAGATAGGTTTGGGGCTTAGCAGAACATTAAAATGTAATGAAATCTCTAGTGACCAAGAGAAAGACATAGCAAAGGAAAAACTCCTGTGGACTGAAAACATTATCCTCCATGCCCATGTTCCCACCTAATCCTACTGAAATAGGCCAAGGCAGAATAGATAGATAGATATTTCATGTTGATATAGCAAAAGAATCTGTAACAACAATGCCATACTTTGATTCCTGGAGTTATCAGAATGGCCCCTTAAAATGATGTTCATCAATGGAGCTATGTTTTGCCATATGATTGAGTTTTCAAGAAGAAATCTTGCATGGAAGGTAGGAAAGTTACAGTGACTCTCCCAAGGTTTTCTGAATGACACACAAGCACCAAGGAGGAACTCTTGCCTTTTTCCTACAAGTTAAGTACATAAAATAGGGCCTGATATATCACATAACAAAAAGTAAAATTCATGTTAAGGCCCGAACTTGGTGTTTTAGAAAAGAATTTTTCTAGGTTCTATAGAATCTGATAGTTAACAATTGTCTAAGTGGATTAAAGAACCAGGCTTTATGGTTTTAATCATCACATACTACAGAGATAAAATTCTGAAGAAATGATTTATAGGCAAAAATAATATTATTTTTAAACTATTAGAGATTCAAACAAAGAAGAAAGGCTATTGCAAATTTCTAATTTTATAAAATTACTTATCTAATTTCTAGTTTGATAAAATAACTCTTTGACAGGAAAAGAGAAAATTCTAGTGAAAGTTGATTCCTTTACTCAGTAGGACCCAGGGGCAATTAACTGTAAGGGTTTTTAGAACATAGACCATGTTGTATACATCTCTGAAATCCCAGCGACTAGTTCACAGTAAGTGCTCAATTAATAGATGGTATGTAAATGAGACATCCTGGGAGATTCCCACAAATCTGAAACTTCCTACCACATCTTCTCCTGCTATTTGATTAGAACAAGTTAATTTTACTGGGTCTCAGGTTCTGCATCAATCTAAAGTGTAAGACAGACCTTAACTTTGGAACTGACAGTACCAAGAGTATAGTTCTCCAGTGAACAGATGTACAAATCATAAAGGTGCAGAGAAGGACAATGGGAAGTGGTTACTCCTTAAAAATAATGCTTCCTTTCTCAAAAAGGGCTTACAGAGCCATCCAGAATATTTAGAAGGGTCTAAGTAAGGACCGTGGACCAACTACTTCCATTAGAGTTCCTCCTTGAGGTCTAAAGGTACACCTGTCCTTCCCTCTTCTCCTTAGAAGGACCAGCTTTCCCAGGACCCAACATGAATCTCCTAGAATTAGACCCCTGCAGGTTGGGAGGCAGTTGAGAGAGACATTTTTGCACCTTCAGATGCTGAAAACTCAGTCTCTTTTTAAGAGTTGTCAGGTGCTGCTGGATCCTCGAAGGGCCAAACCAGCTCATGTGTCTTATCAAGAGTTATAGCAAGTGCTCAATCCCTTCCTGAGCATGGTTCTCCCAGCTAAGGAAGAGATGTAAGAAGACCCGTAGGGGCTGGAGAAACCTGGTTGGGGGAATGTGTCTGCAGATAGTTTGAAATGATTCCGAAGAATTGGTTTGGTGGCATGTTTTATTCTTGAGGCTGTCTTTCAGAGGGATGCTCATATGTAACAAAACCAACTCCAGTAAAAGTGAAATCAGTTAGGAGAAGGTACAAGGACCAGAATAGTTCCTGAACTGCCATACTCCTTACTCTTCTGATGTAAACAATAAAAATGCAATGATTTCACTAAGAAAACTCTTCAAGTTGTAGATCTTTTAAAAATCAGTTCTGCTGGTAAGGAAACAAAAAAATCCCTGTACTTCCTCCAAGGATTTTAAATTAAAAAAAAAAAACCTTCTTTTTGTCCCCACTCCCCACCATCCAAATTTAAACCAAAGAATCAGTATAAAATTACTGTGTTCTCCTACACAGAATATCAACAGTGCTTTTATAGCAAAAGATTATGGGCACTTTGGTATGTATGCTGATCTATAACCAAAATATATACGTGGTTTTTCGGGGGGAGCTGAAGTTGCAGATATATTTTCCTCTTTGTCACTCTAAAATTTCATTGTCTTTAAAAGTAGAAAGGATCAGATTTTGTCGGACAAAAAGTAAAACTTCATCATATCTGCAATCCAAATAATTTAATTAGCTTTATAGGCTCTACAGTTTATCATCTTATTTATTAGTTTCTCAGCTTTTTTATCACTTTCCAATGGGCTTTAAAATAACACGTGCAAATTGATTTACTAAATGCAGGATAATTAAAACAATATTCTGTCCTCAGTCAGGAAACATAGAATGCCTTTCATCCAAATAAGCCTTGAAGAGGCTAGTCAAGTGACAGATCAAATGAAAAGGACATTTAATACACATGTAAATCATTTACATGACAAATAAGACACTTTAGCAGGAGTTGGACTCACTGCCTGAGAGTCAGGATTAAGTTCCCATATTAATGCATGCATTTGGTGTGGTTATTTCGGGCGGAAGACTTCATCCATCAATGCCCTCCGCCACAAAGTAAAGCCAACCTGTAAACTGATCACCACAGCCTGTCAACACTGGTTACTTAATTACATAAAGAAAATATATTTCAAAGACTTTTGATAATTTGGTTAGTATTTCAACTTTGGATTCAAGTCTAGCATCTTTTTCAGGGTTCTTTGAAATAATGGTTGAAAGGGGTTTTTAGAATTAAAAAATGAAAAAAACTAAATACCATTTTTATGCTCCCTGGCTCCCTGCTAATGTTTGTTTGTTTGCTGCTTTTATTTACAGACATGAAAAATAAAGATTTACTAAGCACTAATGAAGACTAATATGAATGAAAAAATATTTTTAAAAGATGTCTCCATTTAAAATTAAACTCAATATACTTGTGCTGTTAATTTGTGCTTTTCATTAGTTATTTTAGTAATTTCTAATTCCAGCTTATTTATGTAATTAATTAGTAGATTTTAGATATTAATTTTTTATGTATAGGAGAAACTGTTTATTGGAGGAAACATTTCTTCTAACGAAGACTATTTTCAGCTTAATTATTTTTAAAAGTCTACATATTGTGAAATTATCTTCAATAAAGCTCATAAAGAACACAATCTATCAGTGATATTCAAAGATATCACTGGTGTTAGATTTTCTTTCCATGCAAGAACGTAAGAATGTCATAACTAATAAAGCTCCAAAATGATAAAAGCAAAAAATACATGCATCTGCATATTTTAAATGTCTTTCCAGGAGAAAAATACAGCAAATCTGGAAATATTGTTACAAATTCTTTTTTGAAACCTTGATCAAATTTATTAACTATTTAAGAAAGCATTCCAAGCCCCTCCTGCCCCCCATAAACTGCAAATACATGGTGAAAAATTTGTGATTGAACCTAAGAAAATACACTTGAAATTGAAATCTGCTCATCATGACCAATTAACACCCTTACATTAAACTTTAAAGATTCTTTGAAAAATATGATAGAATTATAATTTGTCATTTTAGTTAATATTCTTCATAAACAATAATTATCAGATATTTTGCAATTGGTTATACTCTTCCTTTATTTTCCCTCTGGTCTGTTTACTCTAAAGGAACTTTTCCTTAAATCATAGTGATTCTATTATTTTACAGTCTATTTAAGAAATTGGATATTTGTTTGAAAATACCAAAAGAAACATGCTTTATTAAAAAGTACAAGAAAAAGATCTATGGTTGAATCTTACCCTCTTTCTTAGTGGGTTCTGGCATGGCCACAATAAAATGTTATTCTCCAACAAGTTTGCTCCCTTCCAGTACTAGTTGACAGAAACCCCACGAGCAGTAGAGATGGTACAGGTCAGTGTGACAAGCAGTTGGGTAGAAGTCTGGCGCTTTTATATTCCCTGTGAATATCAATCATGTTGGCACCGCCCCTTCTTCAGCACAAGGATGCTGGAACTTGACAGCTATGAGGACCTTTCTCACATCTGTTGTCTGTATTCTGCTCTCTCGCCTACTGGAAGGAATCTTCTGTCCATCTCATGTGGCTATGAGAACACCTCTAACTTTCTAAATTCAGCTGCAGCCTTGTGCTCCTTCTTGCTTTTCACTTTCTGTCTGACAGAGACATGTGTCAACTCAGAAATGCAAAAAAGTTTGCCTGATAATAAAAAATTAAATCAAATTAAAAAATCTTAACATGCTAATTCAATATATACTTTAATTTTCACTAACATTATAAAGAAGAATCTCTATATTGATGATAATGTTATGCTTCCATTAGCTTTTTGTTTTTGTCTATTCTTAATTATTGGGCTTAAATTTTTTCTTCTTTTTATCAACATATTAACATTAATTTGTCATGTCAAATTTCTATGTTGAATATCTTGTCTCATTTTTTCCTCCAAGAATAGCAAGGTTTTCTATTAAGGAATGCTTAGCATTTACCTTTTTTTTTTTTTTGCGGTACGCAGGCCTCTCACTGTTGTGGCCTCTCCCGTTGAGGAGCACAGGCTCCAGACGCGCAGGCTCAGCGGCCATGGCTCACGGGCCCAGCCGCTCCGTGGCATGTGGGATCTTCCCGGACCGGGGCACGAACCCGTGTCCCCCTCATCGGCAGGTGGACTCTCAACCACTGCGCCACCAGGGAAGCCCGCATTTACCTTTTTTTCAAAAAACATCCTTTAAAAAAATTACAGTGTATATAAAAGAATGAAGTAATGATACATGCTACAACACGCATGAAGCTTGAGAACATTATAAGTGAAAGATGCCAGACACAAAAGACCATATATTGTATGATTCCATTTATATGAAATATCCAGGATAGGCAAATCCATTGTATCAGAAACTCAATTAGTGGTTGCCAGGGGTTGAGGGGAGGTGGGACTGGGAGTGACTGCTAGTCGACATGAAGTTCCTTTAGGGAATGATGCAAATGCTCTGGAATTAGGTAGTGATGATGGATGTACAACTTTGTGAATATATTTTTTAAAAAACCCACTGAATTATACATTTTAAAATATATGGGGCATGGGCAAAGAAATTCAGATAGACCAGTAGCTATTGTTTTGCTTCAAGATGGCAAACATATACACAAATCTAACTTAAGGTATTGGTAGACTCTCAGATTTGGCCAATTTCTCCCCAAACTCTCATGGAACGATGGAGAAATCTGAGCTACAAAGTGGTCAACCTAAAAAAGACATTTTACTTTCTTTGTCCACATACATGGCACCTTAGAGACCAGGACTAAAATTAGTTTATATGAAAAGACAACTACTTGTGTGCTTTTATTGCTATGCGTTTTCAAGACCATTTTCAAGAGACTGATTGATCTGTGCTGAACCAGCCACACTGTCTCATTTAATTTCCCTTGTGGCTGAGAGCACAGCTGGTCAGACTTAGCTCTACCAAACTCTTAACTTTTCATATAAGGATGGAAACTCAACTTAGAACTCAATAGCATCATTCTTTAGCTACTTGTGGGGGCGGGGGGGGGGGGGGGGAGGAAAGCCAGTCAAGAAGCTCAATGAATATCTTCTACAAAGAAAGCCTTTTCTCAACCACATAGTGCTACTGAGCACATTGCTTTGGTTTTTTAAAATATCCCTTTATCTTAGATGCCAAACAGCTAAATGTCAGCCAGAATACAGCGTATTCTGCAATACAAAGTCAGATATATTGAAAGAAAAAAATAGTAACTTTCTTTTACCAAGTCTATCATAAGAGTGTCAATTAATAGATGAAACAAATTAAAGAACCTAGAATTTGAAGTCAGACTCTTGGTTTCTATTTCTGGACCTGCCATTAACCAGCAGAGTTTAAGAAAGTCAAGTGGCCTTTCTGGGCCTCAGTTTCCTTTTGTGTAAGATAAGGGGTTTGAAAAAATGACCTCTGAAGCCTCTTCTAGGTTTAACATTGTGATTCTATATCCTAAAAAAAAAAAAAAAAATCATTTTTTTCAGCATTCCCAGCACACTGAATACCACATATGAAATGGACATAAGGGCAAAGTGTCATGTTGCAAAGAATGTTTATAGTGATAGGCAGATTTCACACATGCCACAAAAGAGGTGCCATGCCATCTTTGGCTTCTGCAGACACTGCATTGGGTTTTTAACACACTGATCATTTTACTGAAGTGAACATGTGCCAGGAAATATTGCAACCCATGGAGAAAATATTTTATGACCCAGGGAACTTTTTGGTAATTAAGGACTTGATTACAAAAAGATAAAACATTATTGGAGGAATTGGAAGTAGGGACAAATTTCAAGATAAATAGTTGTAGAGTGTATTAGATGGTTAAAGTAAGATTTCAAGTTAGAATAATAAGTAGACGTGTAATTTTCCCAGGACTGTATCATTTTAAGAACACATGACCTCTATTTCAGATGTCATACGTTCATCTAGAAGGTTGCTGACTCCTTATCTCCAACCTCACTCTCAGGAAGGGGGAAAATGGTCAATAGGGCGTTTTTTTTTTTTTTTTTTTTCTTTTACTAAATCCTTTACTGGGTTTTTCCTTTTGTGTTATTTAGGATGAGATTAGGCTAAATATAACACAGAATCACAAAATAATGACAGTTAAACCAAGACAGTAGTATTTCTCGTTCACATAAAGCAAGTTCAAAAGTAATTAGTTTAGAGTCATTGTAGTGACTCCACACTGTTATCAGGAATCTAGACTCCTTTGTCCTGCTCTATCATCCAAGGTAACTTTATGGTCTAAAATGGCTGCTAGGGCTCTAGCCATTACATCCACATTCCAGGCAGCAGAAAAAAGGACTCACGTTCTTAATATCTTTGGGACTTCTTTGAAGTCTCACATAAAACATCTGATACCTCCCATGGGCCATACCTTGATTACATGGTCATATCTGGCTACAAAAGAAGCTGGGAAATATAGTCTTTCATTGTCAGTGGCAATGGGCTTCTTTTACTAAAGAGAATGAGAATGAATGTTAAATAGGTAAATATCAATCTCTGCCACATCTTTCAAAATAAAAGCAGTAATGTTCCGTGCAACAACCAAAGAGGGCAGAGAAGTATAAACAAGTTACCAGGGTATACTGTACAGCAGAGGAAATATAACCAATATTTTATAACAACTATCAGTGGAGTATAACCTTTAAAAATTGTGAATCACTCTGTTTTACACCTGAAACTTATATGATACTGTATATCAACTATACCTTAATTAAAAAATAATTATTTTTAATCCTATACCATTCATGTTAAATTTGTGCCTAGACATTTTATAGTTTTGTTACTATTTCAAATGAAATCTCGGTTTTCCGTTTCCATTTGTAACTGGTTACTGAGAGTATAAAGAAAAGCTATGAAGTTATTTGTATAATTATTTTGTATCCAGACACCTAATCAAATAATTTTTTAGTTCAAATAGGATTTTTAGGAAAGTCACTTGGATTTACTTACTATAATTTATGATAGTAATATAATATGCACAAATAATAATTTTGGTTTTTTAATTTTCAATTTTATTTATTTTATTTTCTTATTACATTAGTTAGAAGCCCAAATATGTTATAATAGTGCAGAGGGTGGGTCTTCCTCTCTTGTTCTTAATTTTAATAGAAATGGATCTAGTATTTAAACTTTAATATGATATTTGCTATTTGTAGTAAATAGTCTAACATTTTTAGGTAGTTTCCTTTTTTTTCCTACTTAACTATTAGTAACAACTACTGAATTTTATCAAATGTATTTTTGTACACATCACTGTAATCACGTTTTTCTTCTTTAATTTGTTTATATAATGAGTTACATATTTTGAAAACTTGACAAATGTTGGACAATCCTTGCCTTCCTGGTAATAATCCTATTTCATTATGGTATATTATTCTATTAATACAATTCTGCATTCCTTTGCTAAACAGAATCAGCAAAAAGGAGGCCATGAGCTGGTTCCAGCAGAAGTATGATGGGATCATCCTTCGTGGCAAATATATTCCCATTTCTATCCAAAAGGCCAACAAGAGGTTTTCTGTGAAATGTAAAAAAAAAAGAAAGAAAGAAAGAAATAAGGAACTAGCTTATGATTTTATTATCTTTTCTTCTCCTAACTTCTTTTGGTCAAGTTTGTTGTTGTTGTTGGTTTCTATGTTGAGAATTTAATTTAGACTTTATTTATAGCCTAGGTCTTTAGTTGTATCACATACATTTTGATTTAGAGTTCTTACCTTTTCATTAATTTATGAATAATCTTAGATTTAGGCTTTTATTTTCTCATTGATCCAGGAGTTATTTAAAAGGGCATTTCTTTCCTTTTAAAATTTATTTATTTTATTTTTGGCTGCGTTGGGTCTTCGTTGCTGCGTGCGGCCTTTCTCTAGTTGCAATGAGTGGGGGCTATTCTTCATTGCAGTGCACAGGCTTCTCACTGCAATGGCTTCTCTTGTTGTGGAGCACGGGCTCTAGGCACGCAGGCTTCAGTAGTTGTGGTGCACAGGCTTAGTTGCTCCGTGGCATGTGGGATCTTCCCAGATCAGGGCTCAAACCCGTGTCCCCTGCACTGGCAGGCAGATTCCTTTTTTTTTTTTGCGGTAGGCGGGCCTCTCACTGTTGTGGCCTCTCCCGTTGCGGAGCACAGGCTCCGGGCGCAGGCTCAGTGGCCATCGCTCACGGGCCCAGCCGCTCCGCGGCATGTGGGATCCTCCCGGACCGGGGCACGAACCCGTGTCCCCTGCATCGGCAGGCGGACTCTCAACTACTGCGCCACCAGGGAAGTCCTGGCAGGCAGATTCTTAACCCCTGTGCCACCAGGGAAGCCCCTAAAAGGGCACCTCTTAATTTCTAAGGAATTAAGTTTTTTTGGGTTTTTTTTTTTTTTTTTGTGGGCCTCTCACTGTTGTGGCCTCTCCCGTTGTGGAGCACAGGCTC